TGGTGTACATAAGGACTCCCTGCGCAGCGATTGGGCCTGGTGAGTGCCAATTAGCGGGGTGGTATCCCCGCCTCCAAGTGCCGCGCATGTGCAGATGTGACGGAAAGTGCGCGTAGGGCCGTGTGCGCAGGGAAACGCGCATGCGCAGTATGGCGCTCGGCCCGGGGCCCTGAGGTGCGCGGCGGGGCTGCGTGCGGGCCGGGCTGCGGGCTCCGCTCGGGTCGAAGCGGGACAGCGCGTCTGGGGTTCTTGTGTAGCTGCAGCCTCAGCGACGGAAGACAAAAATCACCTTCTAGTGCCACCAAGCAGACATGTTCACTTGCAGATACAAGCTTTCGCGTTGATTCCCTCAGCTGCGTTTCCACTTCGGTCGCAGAGAAGCTCCTCCTTTCCGTATGAGCGTTCCGAACTTGTTCTCCCTCACGTTCGTTCTGACGGGGCGCAGCGCAGCGCTATGGAGCACGCAGCGGCTGCCCCTGAGCCGGGGGCCCTCGCTGTGGGCAGCCGGGAAGAGGAGCTCCTTGCAGCTGGTGCGGCTCACCGAGGCGGAGCTGAAGGAGCAGTTTGTGAGGGGCGACGGCCCAGGAGGGCAGGCCACTAACAAGACCAGCAACTGTGTTGTCTTGAAGCACGTTCCGTCAGGGATTGTGGTGAAGGTAATTGCGTTTTATTTCATCAAGGCAAGGGCTGCGTGCCGTTCTTCAGGTTTGCTTTTACGGTTGGTCGTTATCTCAGTTGTCACAGAAGGGTTTATGCATACAAGAAGGTTTGGTTAACGAATAAATAAACTGGGGCTGTCTGGATATAAAGTTTTAGCAGGAAAACAGAAAAATAAACAGGTGAGCATTGTGATAAAGATGTCCTCCTGTATTTCTTCAGTGCCATCAAACAAGATCAGTGGAGAAGAACCGAAAGATAGCCAGAGAAATCCTGCAGGAAAAGGTGGACCTCTTCTACAAGGGTGAAGAAAGCGATGTTTATAAAGAGCAGAAGGCATCAGAGAAGAAGAAGCAAGAGAAAAAAAGAAGAGCAAAGGAAAACCTAGAAAGGAAAAAGCACTTTAAAGAGATGCTGCAATTGGACAGGAAATAAACATGAAATACTGACTGGCTGTGGTAGGGTAAGGGAGAAGTTTGTCATACCTGCACATAGTTTTCTGACTGATGTATAATAATGGGCTTCATAAACACAACTGAAATACTGAGTAGTGACCTGACCTGCTCTTACAGTAAAATTGAAAAGTTAAAGCACAGTGTGTTCTTACTTCTGTTTGCCATCATCTCATTACTTGTATTTAAGAATCTTTTTTCTGCTGAGTTTCTGCCTTATACTATTTCATAGGCATTCCAGTACATAAGGAGATCATTCCTTACAGGTTTTAACATTCCATCCTTACTTAGACAATGCCTGCACTGATATAAATCCTTCATAAAGTGATGAGGGTTAGATGAGACCTGAAGAAGCTGCTCTGTGATACTCTGATCGAGTGTGTAGACTTGAGACAAAGCACCACCAGTCACTGACTGTCTCCTTCAGATCTGTTAGTAGAACTTCCTGCATAAATGCTCCAGCTCTCTCAATTCGGAAGGAATTTTAAACAGTAGCTTTACAGCTTTTACCTGCAGTGATGATAAGCGTTGTTGAGGAGTGAGGGAAAGAGGCATTCCCACAAGTGAGGGCTTATCAGGCTTATCACTATTTTAATACTGCCAAGTTACTAATTGCTTAACCAGAACTTCTCTAATTTTCAGCAGAACCCTCACAGGTTGCTAACTGCGTTCTGACCTTCAATAACAAAGGCAGAAGAACCCAAGCTGTCTTGTGTATTTTGAAATCAAGGTAGACAACTAGCAATAATACCATCCTCTGAAAAAAATCGACTGCAGCAGGACTGTCCCTTCACTGGAAATAGACCAAAAATTTGCAGGCCCATTCCCTCGTCTTCCTGAACTTGAGCCTCCTGCATGAAGGTTGAATCTTTGCTTTTCATACCTGAGGTGTGAATCTGAACAAAGTGACTGTAGATAGTTTTAATACAAACTGTTAATGAAAATAAGCTTTATTACATCAAGTAATAAATACATACAAAGATGCAAATAAGTTTTAGTAATTTATCCAGAATTTTCTTCTTCTTTTTTTTTTTTTTTGCAAACTTAAAACTGAAATCTCCAGCCTTAATGTAGAAATTAGCTTTCCAGAATCTTGTTATTATTTAATAGGCTTCCCTATTTTCCATATAGTTCATGCACTTTAAAAGGACTTCAAAGCACTAATAGTCATGCAAATGTTTATGCAAAATGAACAAAAAAGGAAAAGTAAGAGGAGGAGAAGGTTATTATTTCTAAGCAGGGTCTATGCTGTATGGCAAATTGTGGCATAGCAGACTACTAAGTACAGCATGCTATTCTGCATTTATTAAAAAAAAGTCCTTACAGCTTATGTCAAACTTTGAAAGACTGACAGTTTGGGGTTACGCTGATACTGTGAAAAAGATAAAAAAAAAACCAACAACAGGATTGTGGCTGGATAGGAAGAGAACTGAAATATAGCCTAGAAGAGAGCATTCCTCTGCATGCAGTTCAGTTTTCATGGTTTAGAAACGTCTTAGGGAGTTTTAGTGTCTTTACAAAATGCCAACCCTCAGCAAGTTGAAAAATCCTTGTTTTGTCATTCTTCGCTATACATTTTTAAGGGCAAAAAGAAAGGTAAAACCTTCAAAATAAAGGAATTTGTCTGAATGTTTCAAGAGTCAGAATGAGTAGGCATTACTTTTTCTTCATTAAGAGAAGGAAAATCTTGTAACTGCATTCGTGGGCTAGGATCTTGCATTTCGTTCAGTTTCAGCCAAGCATTCCCGAACTAATCCTCTGGCATGAATAATGCCTGCAAAAGAATTGAACATATTAAACTATCTCATTCAGGTGACATTTGCAATGACAGTTCACAGAAAGGTTTATGTGTTTCTGCTGAGTCTCCAAGGCTACCACAGCATGACACAGAAAATGGAGAGAGCCCTCTGTGCCCTAACATCAGCCACTGCTGAAGAAGTCTGCTTACCCAAACTGGTGTTAGGAATTGAAAATGGACCAAACAAGGAATCAGAGCATTATGAGCTTTGTAGGGCTGCAGCAACGAGTACATTGTGATGTGCAGTGTATGCCTAATTAAAATGAGAAACTTAATTGTAAAGAAAAAACAATCTTATCAACCTGTCAGTTATTTTGGTACTGTGGGGTGAAAAACACCTGAACTTATTTAGGGAGTCATTTTAGCAAGGCCTTAATTAATGCCTTGGAATAATTCTTCTACAAGAGGATGCATTAAAACCTAAGCCTTCATAATACTGCCTAAACACAAGTTGTATAAGAGAAATTTTGTAATGCCGTGTGCATAAAGGTTCCTCCTAACTGGCTCAGCTCCCAATATAAATCATCACTGCTTTACATGCTGCCGTATCTACTCTGATAGACATTATGTGGAATTTTCCACTAAGAGTCCTGCTGCCTTGAGTTCTAGCAATATGGACCTCGAGTCTTAATCCTGGAACTGAAGCTAGATTCATCTTCACAGAGCTGCTGAAAGAACAGAGCTCAATTTAGATTTTTACGATGGGAGACAGATTTTTCTACAACTAACAAGGTTATATTTTACTATCAGGAAAAGATAGGAGGTGATTTCTCTGCTCAGTCATGCTCTTTAACAAGGTGAAGAAATGACAATAAGGCAGTAGAAGAGATTTAATCTCTTTTTAGATGTAATGGATTCTGTCTCTAGAAGGCTGCTAGCCCAGATCACAGCAACAGCCTCTACATCCAAGGAGTAGAGACTGGGGATGTGATGGGTGCCAGGCTTTGCTCAGGGTTAAATTAAGGCAGACAAGTAAAGCTGCATCCTCCTACAGCTGTGGGAGGCAGAAACGCATACTCAAAGCAGTATACTAGACCTGGATCTGGTGGCAGGATGCCCAGTTTATGCAGAAGAACTACCCTGAATTATGTAGAACACTGGGAATTTGGCCAATTTTAGAGGTCGGTATCCTCTTTCCCTAGGAGCAGATGGAGCAGGGGACAGGGACTTTATTCAGCAGTAACCTCCACGTGGCCATGGAGGCTGCTGTCACGTGGTTACCCTCACTCACTTCTGCTCTCACACTTGCACATGCTCCTTCAGCCATATAGCTCCTAAAATGCAAAGAGATGTACCTTTGTGACCAAAAGATGGCAGCAAAAAGTATTTAATGTGGATTTTTTTTGCATCATTTGCGAGTCAGTCACAGTGGCAGCACTGAATCTTAAGCCTACATTAGCGAACAAATCAATACTCAGTGCAAGAAGTAGCAAAACAACGTTTCCTCACCCAACTGATATTCTCTGAACAGTTTTGCATCTCTCCTGCTCTCTCTCAAGTTGTCCCCATTAGCCTATTGCCATTCATGATCTATTAATACTGACTCCGGCAATGCAATAAAGAGAGACTCCAGCAACATTGATTTTAGCTGGGCTAGATTCCACTTACCACTCATCAGCAGACTTTATTGCATCCTTTCCCAGAACAGCTACTAGTCATTTTATTGCACGTCATGGCAGATATATTACTCTCCCATAATGGTTGAGCCTTAAATAAAGCTTTGTAGTCTTGGGTGAGTGTAAGGGGGATTTGCAAGGTGGTGAGATGTTAGTCTGTTACAGTAACACTCCCGTTCAGGTTTGAGTGAGTGAGCCAAACTCAGCACAAGGACTAAGGAAAGGGAGGAAAAGGTAACTCCATGTATTGGCCATGGACAGAAATGCCAGAACATCCATTGTAGGTGGCATTCAGGGTCATTTTAGGAGCAATGGAATGTCCCACTGCTCCTTCACAAATATCCTTTGCACATCCCTTGCAGAGGACAATGTCAAGCTGATGTAAGCAGCAGGGCATGTGGGGGTTCCTTTTACACTGCAAAGGAAAGGGCATTTATGTGACCTCTTTTAGCTGACTAAGCAAAGCTGAAGAGACCTCATCAGCCAGACCTAAAAGCTTCTATGTCCCTTAGCAGCAGACTCCTAATGACATCCACTTGAAACAGGTAATGGAGTCTAAGTGGCCAGATACCATGCAGAGGAGGAGTATGTTTGACATCTCACCCTCAACAGCCTTCACTGACAACACCCTTTCTGTTTTTCCCCAGCTGTTCTCTCCACCAGCCTCAATGCAACTTAACACAAAGTAACATTTCCTTAAGCCTTTCAGTAAGGGCTCTTGGGTCAAGGAGGTGAGTAATGTTTATCAGAGGATGAAAACAATGTTTGGTTGTGTATTTTGGATGTTAGAGAGAAGAAACAGTTAATGGGACAAGCAAGTCACCAAGAACCTAGCAGAATATGTCCAGCTGACAACTTAAGGCTTCTAAAACAAGGTTTGAATTATTAACTGAAAAATCTCCCTGTTTACATGAAACACCATTTGGCCATTGTTAAATACAGCAAGAATAGAGCATACCAGAGCTCTAGTTGCTCATTAATACACTCCGTTTAACAACAAGCTCAATACAGCTGTCTCCATTCATGGGAGACCGTTGTTATGAAGCTGCCGACAAGTAGTCAGTACACTAAGAATAGGGATACCTTAAAAAAAATATATATATATATAATTTTTTTTTTTTTTTTAAACATTACCTCGTTTTAGCCTCTCCATCGCACTTTTACTCCCAGCATATGTGGGTCTGATCTCTTTTCCTAATTCTTCGATGATAGCTAGAAGTTCTGCATATTTGCTCTGCGGTACTTGACTGCTGCTGGTACCCTGTAATTGGAAGTAGATTAATCTCAATTAGATGCTACTAAAACCAAAACAATTAGAACAAACAGCACCTGGAAATTCACTGAATACCCCAGGAAGCCAGTTTTTTCAGGTTTGCTACATAAACATGATTTTCTTTTTGCCTTTGCTGCTATACTGGACACAATGTTACGTGCCCTTCAAAAAGTGGAGTCAGGAAGGAGGATGCAGCTACATGATTGGAGCCTGAGATTGAAACAGAAGTTAGAACAGTCCTACAAAAACAGCAAACTGAGAACTACTTGTTGAACTCTCTTGCTGTCTTTATCAGTGTTCAGATGTATATTTTGTGGAGAAGTTAGAGAGAATGAAGAGCAGATAAAACAAAACTGCCTGTACAGTAAGGGAAATCCTATTAAGTGGTAAACAGATTTCCCAGAAAGTTTACCAGCCCATAAGTATGTCTGTAACATGCTTCATGAGACTGTCAATCTTAAATCAGCAGTTTGTCCAAGGCAAACAGTTAATGGTGTAGGACTATTACTTTTCTAACAATTAAAAAGCATGTAACAGCCCTTGCTACCAGAACATAACTCAAGACATGGTTCACTTACTCAGAAGGGAAGGGACTAACAGTTAATTAGTAACTAATCTCACTCAGCACTCTGCTTAGTCTAATTCGATCCCAAGATATGTGTGATGAATCAGTTTGCCATTTGGGTTTGATTTCAGACCTTAGTGAGAGGGAGGAACACCTCAGATTACAGGCCACCATCCACGATACTGTGCAATCCTAGGGTCAGCAATCTGGTGAAAGAAAAAACAAGCAGCAGAGCCATCCATACCTGTATCCCTTGTGTGTACCCTAGCGATGGGGGCCCGTAGTCATTTATAAGCTGTCTGTATTGCGCAGACGTTGCCATACTTGTGGAGGGAGAGTGAACGCTCCCAGCTGCAGAGAAAAAAGAGAAAATACTTGTTATTATCTACAGATGGATGAGTCGGTTACATGGGGACACATTTCAGGTGGCTTTCCTCTTTTCTAAAGCTGTGAATTCTCACCTTACTCTAAGCCAGCCAATGCCAGAGCCGCACTACTTCCTACTAACGATAAATTACTGCTTCCCTAATGTTTGCTGTACACTTGAAAATAGCACAGCCTGCAACCTTATCAGTGCAAATTGTTTGTCTAAAAGTGAAGCAGTGTAACATGACAAGTTGTTCTGCCTAGACAAACTAAATCTTAAGGAGCCCTATTTTTGCATATATACATTCCACATAGATGAGTCTAACGCCCTGCGCTATTTTTACTTTTTCAGTGCAAGTTATCTGAAAGCAATTTTGCAACTCAAAGTGCCATCACATGGTCAATGCAAGTTATCCTCAGTACTATTTTCAGCTGATGCCAAAACTATTCATAGAGAACAGTCAGTTGAGGTCTATCAGATCTGCTGCTCATTGTATGACATCGGAGGGGAAGACTGCTAAGCATTATTCCTCTTTGTGAGATATCAAACATCTTTTGCCTGTCAAACTGTGCTACGTAAGTAAATCAAAGGCAAAAAAAAACATCTCTTTAGATTATGGGTCAGCTCAAAGGCTCTACCAATGCAATCATTGATTAACTATTTCAGAAACAGGGAAGCAAGACACTTCACTACCCTGCTATGGTAAGAATTTGTTACTGAGAAATAATATTAAGATTTCTTTTGGAGGGCTTAATTCTGCCGCCTGTTTTACAACAGCTTTAATGGGCTGGTGATGAACTGCACTCTCAGGGCTAAGGCAGTGTTCAACTCAGCTGCTCTTTTTCACTCTTGCAGTTAAAAGCCCCCATACCCACCAGTGCTGCTCTCCTTGCCTGCAGGCACAGACTCAGACCTCCTGCCGCCTGCAAATCTTCCCTTTGCAGAATTCCTCACTAAAAATTCCCAACTGCCCTTCATTAGAGGAAGGGATCTTATTCACCAGCTTTCATGTGAACCTAAATTACACTGTTGACAAAAGTCACTGCGGCTCAGAACCATGTAAACCACTAGCTTTGTTTAGAAGTTGCAGGAGATTTCATTCCCTGTCTCTCTTCACTAAGAAACAGAAGGCCAGTAGTTATGTTGTGAAAAGCTCTGCTGAACACAGTGGAACAGACTCTACCTAGGCTGGGAACTGTCTTTCCACTTCAGAATGTATCACAAGTCATCACTGTGGTGGTGTCTTTGTTCTACAAAGAGAGTGTATTCTACATCCTGCCCAGTTAACTGGATGTGAAATCCTGATGAAGGTAAACTGGGCTGGTCACGAGGCCCATTTGAAAAAAGGAAGGTTTATCTTTGTCTTAAACCAAGCAGCTAAATTTTATGGCTGCACGTGTCTACTGCTAAGGTTTCGTGTGGAGTTAATAGTCACATCCCTCTGAAGTACAGTAAAAACAAACAACAAAAAAATTAAAACACACCCACAGAGCATGGCTCCTGCACTGGGGAGGAACACCACAGTTGTCAGCTGTGCTCTCAGTCAGCCCTTCCCTCTGTGCATGCACAACGGCAAGGTTTCTGTACCTACAGCTCAGCCAATATTCCAAGTCCAGATGACTTGAAATTTCAACACTTATCAAACATGACACAACAGCAAACAGCATCTTTCCTCCAGTGATTTCAAAATGCTTCAAAAACACTAATGAACCCTTTGTGCTGCAAGGTAGAAAGATTTAATTACCTCAATTAAGCAAAGACAGACTCTAGCGATTTCTGCTCCCATAGAATAAAACAAAAGATGCATCCTGTAAAGACTTGTTCCCAGGCTGCTACTGCAAGCACCACGCATATGGGACCTGGAAGCTCCAAACTGGCTCTGAGCAAGGACTTGGATGGCCAGGCTGAGGAATCCTGCTTTGGCCACTCAACAGACCTCACCAACAGCTTACCCCACAGCTGCAGCCCACGCAAACAGGACCGTTTTCACCAGCATATCATTGACTAATGATAAAGTAGTACAGATAATTAGTGATCGTTTGAGGTTATGCAAATTCAAACGATGTGTGCTTCGTTTGGATGAAATAACACAGCAGGGTACGGCTACATAAGAGAAAACTCCACTAGAAACACGATGTGGCAAGATAAAACAGCAAAGCCGGGCCGAACCACACTTTGCACACATAAGGCACCGCAGTGGACAGCAGCAGGACTCAGCATGGGAGTTACACAAGCAAAGGAGAACTTTCAACAGGCAGCAATGAGGGAGAACCCACCAGCAGAGCTGGGACGTCGCTCCTGTCCGCAGTCAGCAGCCAGGGCCCTACCTGGTGCTGCTCCACAGCTGGGTGCTTATTGTCTGCTGTACCCACGCTATGCAGAGCTGTGCAGCAGACACTAGAGGCCATTGCTGAGTACGGCGTGCCCTGCCAAGTGACAGATCGTGGTAACCATGGTGAGTTTACCCGTTTCTTTGCAGTCTGCATCAAAAATGTAATAAGACATAATGCCATGCGCCGACCACTTTATCAGCAGCAGCAGACCCTGAGAACAAAGGAAGGATTTGGCTTGGCCGTGGCACCAGCTCCACACGCCCAAGCCAGAAGTTGTGCCAGCCAAACTCTGCTGGAGGAAAGAAAGATGAAAAATCCTGGATTTCACCTCATTTTAAGATGATGCAATCATGAAAATGAAATTAATTGCGGGGATATTATTATCTCACAGGGTAATGGACCTTAGGCTTTCTGACCTATCACTTTGTATGTTAATCTCAAAGAGAAGCCCTGAGTCTCAGATGACTATTAGTCAATTAACCCGAAATACATCTGCATGCCTGAACATCCTGTACACTGCAGATTAAAAAAAATAATAACAATTAAAAAATCACCAGCTACTGCTGTTACAGTTAGGAAGAAAAATTAGGCCAACGAGTCTCAGAGCCAAGACCCAGTCAAAAATCCGTTTGATGATTAGGTATTCACCAGAGAGAAAAAAAAAAAAAGGAGGGGGGATCTAAATTGAGGCTTGCTCTGTCATGTTAAAGTAACAATGGAGACAAGACAGTTAGGAATTGACAGAAGCGAAAAGGGAGTGTGCTTGTACTGAATTCGAGTGACACTCTGCATCACCTCCCAGATTGTCTTAGTGCTTGCTGCTGCATTAAACCTAAATTAATGTACACACTTTTCTGCCTCCACTTTCCTAATTAAACGTATACAAAACCTTTTATATACCCATTTATTCTTGTGCCAACAATGTCTTTTATTTCTGTGTTCACACAGAAGATTGACAGAGGCTTTTTTCTTCCCACAAAAATATAGTGAGTTTCTTGCTAATCAACATAATTCTTTATTAATTAGGATGAGGTGTAACAATACAGCAAACAGAAATGAGATTTTTTTTTTTTTGGTCAAAATCTCTCCCTTCCAGTGACATCCTGCAAGACAAAGGATCAAGAACCAACCTTTGTTTCCCCGGACTCCTTCGGACCAGGAATCTCCCCATCAATTTCCAACAGGTTTGCAGAGATCCATCCAGTTTCTTCTCTACTGTTTCCAAGCCTAAGCAGCAATGCCAATTTGCTAGTCTCAGTTCTTACCTCTACTGCTGTTGCTTGCTGGAAAGCTAACTGGAAAAGCAGCTTACCGTGCACCCCACAAGGAAGCAGCGGGGGCAGGAACGTGTGCGCTCCCACCTGATCCACTCCCAGATGTCCACAGGGACACCTCTGCGGGGGCCACAGCACTCAGCCGCCGCTCTGCTTCGCCCTCACAGACACAGCAAAGCAAAATCAGAAACAGTTACTCACCTCGCCCAGTTACTCATGTAGAACTGACTTAAGTAAAGAGCTAACCCCGCTGGATATGTGTTTCTCTATAACTCTGTGCTTTGCAAGGTCCTATAAAATGGCATTCTATGAGCTCCTGCCATTTTACCAACTCTCTGTACTCAAGAACACGACAGTATATAAGAAGAAATTCCTGCAGGTATGCAGTCAGAGATATCCAGGATGGAATATTTTAACTGAGAGGATGCAACTTCTCTGCCCTAAAGTGGCCAAGTTTGCATCAAAACACATGAGAAATGTTCTGAGCTGCGCGGACAACGTACACTGCAAGGCAAGGATCCTCCAGCACAGGGTGGGAGCCAACATCCTCACCTACCGCAGCCATCTCTGCAGTGTTTGCACACAGCCTGAACCGCAGTTGCAGAGTTCTGGCTGACTACAGGATTATTTGATTCCTTAGCCCTCTGCACAATTTGGCTTAAGCTCAACGAGAACTGCCTGCCATCCATGGGACACCACACGCATGTCTATACAAGCAGACCTACTGCACAGCCAAGCAACACATGGAGCACTACGAAGATGCCAACCCACAGCAAAAATGCTGTCAGCCCCCATTTCCCCCAACCTCCAAAGAATTTCTTAATTTTTTTTGAATTTTAAAATAATAGACCTAGTTCTCATCCGCACAAAACATTCCTTATAGGACTGGCTGTGAAAGTTTTATTTTCACAAGCTATTTCCCACCTTAAACAGCCTGTGTGGCAGAAACAGACCTTTCTTTGAATAAAACTATTTCACTTGAAAGCAAAAAAAAATTCAGCACACACACATATAAATATGTTCTCAAGAAATAGGACATTCTTTTTTGTAACAGCCAGAGGCCTTGCTCTTTTGATCCATCACACTCAGGGCCTTTCCTCTAGTACTCTCGTTCCACTTAATCTTCCCATGTGGATAACGGTCATGTTTTATTTCTTCTCTTTCCAACTCCTCCCTTTCTTCTTTCTTTTTTTTTTTTTTTTTAAATCAGACAAACAGAAGACAGTCCCTCTGCCTCCCCACTGCTCTTCTATTCTAGCTGAAGACAGGACATTTCTACATTAGCAAATTATTTGGCACAATGAGAATGGATCGGAAGATCAAAGCCTTTGGTACGTGTATACCACATGTAGCTGGGGCGAGGGGGCAGGATTTAAATTTGGAATTTAGTCTGATCCCCCAGACTGGGTGTCTGCATCACGAATATGGCTCAAAGCTGTCCAGCCTTTGGTTTGGACATCTATGTTCCCCTAAAGGATGGAGCACCAATTGCATAACTGGAGCACAGCTTCTGGTTTACTTTTATGCAAGAGGAATGAAGCTAGCACAAACCAAAACCACTCTGCAACTCAACTGACTGGTGGGTGGGGATGACGCAGAGGTTGTGAAAACCATGCCAGTCACTGCTTTGAACCTAAGAGCTCTATTAGGCAAAGCCAAAAACACCATTTTCTTAAATGTCCAAACAAGTCCACTGAAAAATTGTTCATTCTGAAACATGCTTCGCAAGTTTCTTTTCTGTTCATGGCTTCATGTGGATTTCAAGTGACCAAGGAACCTGAAATTTTCAGTTTGTAACTTGGGGGTTTGGGAGTGGAGCATCACCTACATTTCTTAAAAAAATATCCCCTCTGCTAAGACATGAATACTTTGCTCTCTGCTGCATTGTTTGTTATCGTATTCTTTCCAGTACCTCATTCCAAAAAACAGCAGCCCCTCACTACAGACAATGTGAGACCTAAGCTGTCTGTAAAGGGCAACAAGCAAGCCATTTGCTCATGCAAGTTTGCACTGCAGTCTCAATAAGAAATAAGCTAACATGTTGGGCATCACACCTCAGGACTGAACAGTATCGGTCTCCCCAGTTGCAAGCTGCAGCCCCAGTGAGGGAAAATCTTCTGCAAGGTGAGGCTGACAGCCCTGCTGGTCCTCAGCATGGCAGCACCATTTGCTAACTGGGAGCTGAGGCACTGTCCTTTCTCTTGGCAAAGTCTGCTGCATTTTGCTTTTCCAGATCCTAAGCACAAAAGTTTTCAAGCTTTATTACAGGAACATGGTTTGACTTGAAACATAGTAATGTTTCTTGCTGAAATTACAAAGGAATATCCAAGCTCTTTCTGCTGGATTCTGGACCTTTAAACTACTGCTCTCGAACCTGTGCCTGAACAAAACTGGTGGATATCCACAACAGAGCCAGGAAACGCCTTGGACCAGAGAAAACCATACAACCACAGAATCGTGGAATGTTTTGGGTTGAAAGAGTCTGTAAACCTCACCAAGTCGCAGACCATCAGACCTTTACCTCCTACCAGACCAGGCTGCCCACAGCCCCATCCAGCCCAGCCTCAAGCATCTCCAGCATGCTGACCACATCACGCAATTTTGGGTCACTGGCAAACTCACCAGGGATGTTAAATCAACACCAGTCCCATTGCAGAGCCCTGAGGAGCACCACTTGTCCCTGATCTCCACCTGGACATCCAGACGGTGACTGCAACTGAACATCAACTCACTGAACACAACTGGACGTTGAGCCATTGACTGCAACTCTTTGAATGCACCCCTCTGACCGATGAATGTGACCACTCAATCAAAAGACAAACTACAGACCTGGTGACAACTGGTGCAAATCCCTCTGCTTCAACTGAAGTCGGTAGAGATGCTCCACTTTATCTCAGTGGTTGGTCCTCTTACAGAGGAACAGAATTAAACAATATGAAATACAAGGCAGGTGAGGAGGAAGCAATACTACTTTGCAAGATTCAGTACAATAAGCAAGAAAATAAATAAAAACATTATGTTAAAACAGGTAACAGAGGTGCCCAGAGACATGGTAGGCTCAGGTGAGGATGTGAAGGTACAGCCACAGCATCCCAGATCCCTAACAGAGCTCCTATTTACCTCCTGTGCAGAGAAAGCGTTTGTGTGGATTAAATGGGGCTCCATCTGCAGAGTGTGGAATCCACAAAGGGGACGGATAATTCAGGCAAAATGCTGCAAGACCTGGGCAGGAGGAACAGGTACCAGATTCTGCTCTGACAACACAACCCCCTTCTCAGAGTCTGGTGCAAGCTAATGAGTGAGCAGCCCCATTTTCCATGCCCACATCCATCCCCAGACTTGTCAGAGCCTCACAAAGGCTTCTTCCCCACACTGCCCCATCCCAAGCCAGCCCCGCTCTCAGGGCTCCAGCCCAGGTTTGCACATCCCAAACACGCTTCTGTGCAACACAGCACAGCCACCCATCCAGCTGGGCCGCTCACTGAGCACAGAACAAATCTGATTTTGCAGTGGCCACTCTCAGCCCAAACTTGAGAGGACTTCTCTCTGCAGCAAGGACGCAGCTCCAGGAGCTGAGCTGACGTGGTTCCAACAGCCCTGCACCAAAACCCTGCACTGCAGGGCAGCAGCGTTACCTCCCAGAGGAAAATCCCTGTGAGATCCACTGCTGGCCAGAGCCCTCGGTCGGCTGAGACCACAACGCTTAGCATTCACACGGAGAGGCTTCTGCAGGGCTGATCTCGGGCCAAAAGGGACAGATTTCCTGTTTTCCTCTCCTCTGCAGGACGGGGGAGGGGGGTTTCTTCGCCCCAGGTTCAGAAGCAAACCTCGGGTTTCTCCTCCTGGCCGGGGGCATTCGATGTCAGCACAATAGAGAAGCAATCTCCTTCTACTCGGAATTAAGCTCCAGAAAGGAGGGGGCCATCTGCAGTCCTATCACTCTGAACGCGATATGTGTGACTGCAAGGACTGCTTTGTCTAACTCCCTTGGCCTTAGGCCACGGTGCTGGCAATACCACGAGCGAGAGGAAGAGCTGGTGCGTGAGGATAATGGCAGAAGGCAGGGAGGGAGGAGAGAGCCCATTTTGGATTCAGAGGAGGACATTCTTTCATTGCAAAGATTCCGGGGGTGTCGGGGGCGATCCCAACTCAGGAGAGAGGACAACTTAGAGAAGAATAGTTCCAGCATGACAGCAAACTTGCAGCTACAGGGTGGGGGGGGGGAAAGGAGGAGGAGGTAGGAAAGATAAAATGCATGAAAAATCTAAATCTGAATCGCAGCACGAGCAGCAGAAAGCACACGGGCAGAGCACCGGCGGCACAAACTTCCCCACTCAGCCCCGCTGCCGGGCTCGGGGCCGGGTCCCCCCGCAGTGACACTCACCCAGCCCCCCCACCGGCGCAGAACACCACCTTTGTTCCCCTGCAATTTTATGGCTGTTGCGGAGAGCAAGGCACAGGTTCTCGTGGGAGCCGGCAGCGGAATGGTTTCCCTCGCCAGGCTTTGCTTTGTTTCTTTTTTTTTTTTTTCTTCCCCCCCCCCCCTCCCCGCTCCGGTGACACTTCTGCTTTTTGTCAAAGATCCTCGGCACATCCTGTGCTCGTGGGGCGATTCGGGCGCTCCGCACCGCGCTGTGCTCAGCGCAGGACCCGCACTGAGCGGACGGCGGTTGTCACCCGCTGGCGACTGCAGGGCCGGACTGCGGCTCTCGGGGCAGCCGGGACGGAGCGCATCCTTCAACCCCACACCGATATCCCGAAAGAACAAGGCTGTAAAACCACCGGGACAGGTCTCCCTCATTTCAAACCCAAGCGGCCAAAACTTCTCAAAAATAAAATAGATTTAAACATCAGCCCGCGCTCGGTGCGGTGCCAGCCCTGCAGCAGGGGAAGAGTCCGTCAGAACCGACTTCTCCATTTTGGTTCCGCTCGCTGCGGCCGCAGATCCCCTCCGACAGCCCACGGCGAAGCGGCTTTGTTGGGGCTGCGGACGGAACCCCTCAGCACCTCCGGGCAGCAGCGGGGGAGAGAGGGGATGAAAAAAAGCCAGAAAGTTATCTCATCAGGGAAACTTTTCAGAGAGGAAAGTTGGAAAAGCTCCCGTAGAGATCCACTGCGGAGGAACGGGGGAGACGGGGGGGGGAGAGGGGGGAGGAGAGGTATAATAATAATAATTTAAAAAATAAAATAAAATAAAATAAGGTCGTTTCGGAGGGATAAAGAGCGGTTTCTACGCCGCCTCCACAACGGGGGCGAGGAGGGTCCGGGGGCCGCCGCGGGGCGGTGGGACGGAGCCCGGCGCTGCGGGCGGAGGTCGCGGTGGTCCCGGGCGGCCGCGGCGGATGAGGAGAGCGGCCGGCGGCCGCGAGGCGCTGCGAGCGGCACTTGCGGCGTCCCGCCAGCAGCGGTCCTCGCTGAGGCGCCGGCGGAATATTCCTGATCCAGATCAATCAGCCGCCCCGGGGAGCCGGGCATGGAGGAAAGCCGGCGGACGGAGCCCCGGCGGCGGCGCGGGGTCGGCCCGCGGGGCGCCGAGTCCCCGCCGAGGGGCGGCGCGGGGCGGGCGGGCGGCGGTAATGGCGGCTCGGAGGCGCTGCCCCGCCGTCGCGCAGCGGGCAGGAGCGCAGCCCGGCGCTGCCCCAGGTGCCGCGCGGCCCCGCCGCCCGCCTCCCAAACTTGTGCCCAGTTCCCGCCGCGCACTTACCCGGGGCGAGGGGAGTCCCGGGGATGTGGGCGTTCAAGTTGGGTTTGTACGACATTCCCAGCGACATGGCCAGCGGGAGGACGAGAGGCGTCCTGATGGAATTCAGCGAAGCGTCTCCGCGTCTCCCAGACACTTTGGGTTGTTTACAGCAGGAGCGGCACCGGCAAATATGGCCGTCAGTTATATTGACACCCACAATGCAATATATCATCCATACATCACGAGGAGACGCCGATCCCGAAACTTTGGCGGAGAGGAGGCGGCCGCCCGCCCGGCGCCCCGCGCACCTCGGCGCGGAGGGGGCGCGGAGGGGGCGCGGCGGAGGGGGGCACGGCCGCCATCCCCTCGGCAGACAATGGAGCGCCCCTCAGGGCCGCCGCCGCCGGAGGAGCGGGCGGGGAGGGGCGGGGGGAGCTGGGCGGCGGCGGGGGGAGCGTTTCGTTCAACTTCGCGAAGTTTGGGCGCAACTTCTGCTCCGAATCGGCCCCTGCCTGCGCCTGGGCGGCGGCGGCGGCGGGAGGGGGGGCGGCAGGCGGGAGCCCCTCCTGAGGGAGCGCCTGAGGAGAAAGGCTGAGGCGAACGGCTGAGGCGAACCTCGCGGCGGCCCCGCCGTTTTCTGTGGAAAATACCTGTTGATAATTTTACGATAA